GAAGTTCTGGCAGCGTTTGAGGAAGCGGAGTTGAGCAGCATTCAGGGAAACGGAGTAGAGTACACCATAGCAGGTCTTTCAGTGCGAGGAGGGAAATGGACGTGGTGGGCGACATGGCGGCGCGTGAGGGGTTGACGGAGACCGAGAAGTGTTTGCTGGTCACTGTCCTGACGGCGGTATGCGAACACGTGCAAACAACAGGGGAGGCGCGTCTGCGGTTTCTCCGGCGAATGCGGCGGCAGACGGAGGTGGCCATGACCTGTCTCTTATACACATCTAGATGTGTATAAGAGACAGCTTTCCCCCCCCCCGCTCTCTCTCTCGCCCCTAATCATCATTGCCTTGGCCATATTGCCTTATTAACACAAATTAAGTCGTCTTGCATTCCCTTGCAAAACAATTGGCCCTCATCATTGTCATTCATGTCAGTCCGTCATTTCATTTCCAAACGTGATATCGGTTGAGCTGTCCTGTTTTCAGATTCCTACCCTCGCTCACTGCGCCATCTTAATTTCCAGGTTTTCTTCCTCGGCTGTAATCGCGGTTCCCTAATATTTCTGTGCCCTTACTTGCCCATTATGCTCGCATGTCAAATAACTTTCTTAAACCATCCACCACTGCCCTCAGATATCACGGTCTACTTTTTTGTTTCCTCTTGTATTTTTTGATTGCACGCCCATTGTACTCCTCCCGCTCACATCCGTTCCCTCTCCACCCTACACCTCGTTGACATGGACAAAGCCGTGCTGGTCCTTGTATTTCTTTGTGTTTTCCTGAGCGATGCGTTGTGCTCCTTACAAGGGTTCTTAATTAATAACATTTTATGTTTTTGCGTTGCCTTTTCCAATCAAATTCCAGTACATTTCCCAGCCATCTGGTTCCAAGGTGCTTGTAAACACGCTGCATCCTTCGGGGATCGACCTATGGGACCAAGATGGCTGGTGTCACGAGGCAGAAAAGCAGAAAAGCCCTTGGTGGTTCGTTTTGTTGGTGCGAAAATCCCCATTGGGAAAAGGAGACTTGGAAGTCCTGGTGGTCTAAGAAGGTGTTCTGTTCGCTGTAAGAGGGGGGGGGGGGGGGGGGGG